CGCGTTAAAATGGCGGCGCGAAGCCGTCGTTTCGGAATACACGGCTCCGAAATTGCTGATTCCCGGCTGCCGGGCTGGCGCAGCAGCAACGATCCCCAAAGCTGACGTGTCGCTGACGAGCGGACGTGCGCGACTGACACCCGTCCAGGGAGGAGAGCCTCGCGCTGGAACACTCGCGAGAACACAGCTGTGAGAGAGAACAACCGCGACGAACAGCGGCAATTCACTTGCTCCGGATTGCGAAAGGCCTCTGAACGTGAGCGAATCGAAGGAACAGTTTGGCACAGAGACCGACCGGAGAAGACTTGCGCCCTGAGCCGCGGCAAACCCAGTTCCAGGGACGTGACTACATCGGGTACTATCTCGCGGAGGGCCAGCGCAGCAGTTCGCAGACACACTTCGCGACAGCTTCGGTTGACCGGCCGGACGCTAACTCCGTGCGAACTCTGTTCATTTCACGCGTGCCGAGAAATACGCAGTCGTTATTTACGGGACTACGGCAGATAAGTTTTATCTGGCTCTTTCGCGATTGTTCCGCTTAAACTAACAGCGCGCATCGATTGGAAAAATTTGAAATCATCCGGCCCGTTCCATAGTCCCATTCATTACGGATGTCCGTATCGCTCGTTGCGTAACATGAATTTCCCGTTCGACGTTCACACACCGCCGGCGGTCATCGTCCGACAAATATTGTCCGTCATGTCGCTGCCCGCGCAACCGATTCAAAGTGCATGATTCATTTTTAGGCAGGATGCATCGCCTGTGCCGCCCAGGATGCATTCCTGATGTTTCAACGCATCACCGTCGTCAAGATACGTCTATTGCGACTAGAGCCGTGCGTCTGTCTTATCTTTTATGGTCATCGCTTAACGTTGCGTATGGATGTAAGACTAAGTGATGTCAGCTTAAGATGTATCTTCTTCCATACCTGAGATAGTTTCAAGTGGTAAGAGAGAGAGAGAGAGAGAGATAGAGAGAGGAGAGACATTCAGTGAGATAAGACGACATTCTCGAAATGAGAGCAATAAAGACAAGATAATAAAACGAGAGGCGATAAAAGAAAAAAGAAGAACGGCAGGACCAGTCCGAGAGTGAGTTTTCAATTTAAAGCGGATTACAACGAACGGATCCTAATTATTCGGAGCGTAAACTCCGTTCTCTGCGAGACAGGCGATTCTGAAAGTTGTGCGAAATGCGCCTTTCGCGTTTCGCTCTTGACGACGTAGCTTCTCTCCTTTTGCATAGCCGTACCTGAACGTTCCCCCTACCACCGGTTAGTTCAACTTGTGACGATGACGAGCAACGTCGTCGTCAACGACGTCGACCATGACTCATTTTTTTAGTGAACGATTAGAGAGCGAACGCGACTAGGGTTTCCTCGTTGTAACTCCTCTATTTATGGATCCAGCTCTCCAATGGCCGTTCTCTCGCTTGCCATAATTTGGCGACCGGCTCACACCATAGATATACGCGCTCTTGCGTACAATCGTATATACTAGCCTCATGCTCCCCGATCATGTTGTCTTTGTTGATCCGACCTCGTCTCTCTTCTTCAACTCCATTTCCCCTCCCGCCTGTCTTCACTGAACCCTCCTGTTCCCTCGCGCCTCAGGAGATCCCCTCCGTTTGGAATATCGAACGACGAGTCCCTTGCGGCTTATACTTCATTCTGGCTAACTCGACCGCCATTATCCCGGCAACACGTGCCCAGACGTGGCTCGAGTATTTGAAAAGCAGTTTCATTTGTCGGCGTCGGCCGAGCAGCACGTGTCTATAAACGTTTCGGAGTAACTCCGACTGGCAATTGCTCGGCGTCGCGCGAAACGTCGTCGAGAGTTCGTCATTAGAAATTTTCCTCCGGATTTCGGGGAATCTCTTTGAACATTTTCCCTCTTGAGATTCTCCTTTTCCGAAATATTCATCTCCGACGGTTAAAATGTCGTTCAATTTTTACTCTCGCCATTTGAGAGAGTATTTTAGCGTCGCAAGTTTTTTCCCTTTTTTTTCAGGCGGTTCTAACGAGTAGTGCTTATTGTTTACAGGCAAATAGTTCCTAAATTAGACAGATAAGATAGAGAGAACGAATGCTTACGAACACGAACGAACGCTTACGAAGCTCGTAAAAATTCCCGGTGCACGTGTGTGTATGTATGTAACGAGTGTATGCAAGTCGTGCAAAGTCGGGTGCGATAAAATCATCGCGGAGTATTTCACCGCTTATCTAGCCGCCGCATCGCTCTTGTTTGCTGCAGCTCTTTCGCCATAATTGCAATTGGCGGCGTTCGAAATCGTTTTTCACCTCGGCAAATTCGCAATTAATTGACGTTTGGTTAAGCAGATCAGATATAATAATTTATATCGCTGTGTGAAATAATTTATATCAGTGATTTTTATCGGAGCATTCCCGGACTCGTTGAAAAACAAGTCGCAGGCGAGGAGCTGATTTCGAAAAAGAAAAAGCTCCTCAGAACAGATAAATTCTTGGACAAAGATAATGACTCACGCGTCACGTTAATAGAAATGTGGAACACATCGTGGAAAGATCGTCCGTGACGAAATGTCAAGCGGCGCGAAGTCGTAACCATAATTGAGCGACGTTTCTTTTGTCTAAGCGCTCGATTTGAAAAGGCGAGATAGAGGTCGAGGACAATATCGCTCGTTGAATTCGTCGCACAACTCGACGATTCGATGGAATCCTCGGTACGCGAGCGATGCTCGATATACTTTCTCAGACCTATGGATGTAACATACGAATATTTACCATTGCCATGGCAACATTGAGCACTCGATCGAGAGGAATATCCCTCGGTGATTTCGCGTGCTGGACATTCACAACAGTCACGCGAGGCGCGCGATCTCCCGATCGGTGGTGCGTACCAGTTATAATATATAAATCAGCGAGAAATTTTTCCATTTGCTTGTCACAACTCTTGTCTCCCTTGTCTTGCTACACAGCACGATCAAATCAGGAATGTCAAATCACCGCTTGCGCAATGAGAGAAAATATGTGCGCGATGATTGATGTGCGCGCTGCCCACAGGTTTTGAACGGGATAATTGCACTTTACTCAAACATCCGTTCGTCAAAAGGAGTTGGCGAAACAAAGTGTTTGTATAGTCTCTCTCTCTCTCTCTCTCATAAATTAATCATGTCCCGCACAAAAAATAGCGTTATGCAAATGACACTTTGCTGGCCGTCGTATTATATATACTGCGACGTTCAAGTATAACGTGTGACACCGTGTACGATTTGAGTTGTCACTTTGCAAAGAATCATTTGTTATTATTGTTACTTTTTATTACTTTATTTATTACTGTCTTTATTATTATACTAGCTGAACCCCCTCTTCTTCTTTACGAATTTATTACTTCAATAATTTAGCGCGGATCAGTCGTGCGAAGCACGACAAACTGTGGAGCGACCATGTTGGATGTGCTGCTGTTGTTGTAAGTTCCAGTTGCAACAATAGCAGCACGTTGTTTAGTTGTTCGTAGCAAAATATTTTCTTAGTTTACCCTCGATACGTCCGTCAGTCACGAACTAGTCAGCGCGAACTCGTTACTGTGCTTCGTACTTTATACGATATTTAATAACAGTTCGAGTCACGATTGTCATGCGTGATACACAACATGATGTCACGACACGGTGCAAAATTGCGCCTTTTGAATATGCACACAATTTCTGATTCCAGACCGTCTCTTTTCCTAAACAACAACCCGCTTTGTTTCTTCTTCAAATATCATAATATCGAGAGTGACGTAAAGTCCACCGAAACATTCTTTCGGCGTAATAAAAAAGTTACGCACGATATGGTGATTTGCGTCAGTGACAGTGCTCGGAGGTTCTCTCCGCGGAATTTTACGCGGAATTTCCAAATCTAACGAAATATGTCTGTTCCAAAAGAACGAGGAAACAGTAGGACGGTATTGCTCTAGAACGTAACAATTGCGTGATATTCGCGCGTAGAAAGAGTCTCAGAATTTCAGGAAGGCGCCCGAAACGAAATCGCAGCAAGAACGGAGACGGATCGGTGATCGGTGCGTAACGTTCGCGAGATACGCGTAGCGCGAGAAGCGAACGTTACGAGAACCAATCTTCGGTCTCGCAAATCATGTTTCAATTTTACGCTTGAGTAAACGATCGAAAGTCTTACCATTACACCAGCCGTTCGCTCTGTCCATCTTGTTCCCACCGAGCGCGAGTACCACCGGCGATTTCTCCCGTTGATCTGTCGTGTCTTATCCTGAGACGAGTGTGGACAGTCTCCTCAGAAATAGTCGAAGACCAGGGATTTCCCGGGCATTGCGGTGGGACCGAGTGACAGGATCCGTTCACCGTCGCGCACACATTGTCGTGACCGATTCCGGTCCGCAACGTGTCCACCTGGTCGCGGTCCCGCGATTACGCGATCGGCAAAGCACCGAAGACGGTGCTACGCGACGACGCGCACCGGACGACACTGAGCGCACGTACTAGAGCTCGTACACGACGTCAATGACTTGCTGGTATTGGTGAACGCAATGCACAGCTACTATTGGCCGAAAGTCTTTCTCTTATCGGCAAGGCGTTCGACCGCGATCGGACCGTGACGATCTGAGAAATCGCGTCGATTCTCAGGCAGACTCGCGCGCGAACCAGAGTCACCGCCGAAATCACTCGCGACGCAGAGCGGATTTAAAATGTCACACACACACACACACACACACACACACACGTCTCCGCGATTACATATGTGCGAAGTGAATCCGATTCGTCGAAACGGGGGAATTTAAAGACCACTTGGTCTGGAGACTGTCTTTAAGATCGAGACTTCGCTTTTTCAGCTGATATTGTAAAATGCTGGATTATCATGCATGTCACAGTATCTCCGTCTATGCGATAAGCATTGTAATTCAAATGGCATTGATAATTCAAATAATTAAGATAGCTGGGTTTGTGGATGAAATCTTGTCATTATCGTCACGCATTATCCACCGCGGTGTTTCGGTTCTGACTCGTAAACTTACTGATTTCAAGCTGAAGGTGTTGAAGTTCATATTGGTTGATTAAATAACTGTTAGATTAGACAGTCGATTATTGTGAGGAATAATTATTGCAAGTGAGAAGGTTCGGTTCAATTTATAAGTCAAGTTTGACTTTATGTCATTCGATGAAAAATTCCACATTAAGCGACACTGTTGTCGTCCTTACCTATTATAATTCAACGCTTTAATCACGCACTTTTCGTCGTAGAAAGTAACCAGTTTGTGTTTTCCAAAAGAAAGAAAAGAATTTGATGGAATTTTGGAACAGAGTCAAGTTGTTCGTTCAGCTAATGCTAATCTTTTAATATAAATTAAATATAAAGGCAAATGATGATGAAGACAAATGATAGGAAAATACTCAGGAAGCGAGAATGTATGTCCGTTATTAAAAGGGAGAAATCTTCGAGTCTTCATCGTGCGGCACACAGTATTATTATCGGATGATTGATCGCTGTGAGGTTGATAAAGTAAATGTACATAGGTTGATAAAATAAATGTACATAGCGATGGAAGATAATTTTTGCATCGTGGCAATTATCTGGAGGGATAAACATATCGATGCACGGACCAAATAGTATCATTGATGATATTTATTCTCTAGGAGAATAATACAGGTGTATATTCTGCAGCAGTCGACGAAATGTCGAGAGCGTTACCCATATGTTAAATTTATCGATGGAGATATAAATCTCTCGCTGACGTCACTCGCTGTTCCAAAGTCGAGCGAACGTCCGATTGTTCTCCGGCTATTTAAATAATTAATTAACATAATAACAATTAAATATATATTAGAATTTTCTCGCACTTAATCTCTCCACCCTCTCGAGCACGCTTCTGCTAAGTGTTTCTCTCTCTATCTCTTTCTTTCTCTCGAGTCTTCAATAGCGAGTATAGAATTAATTTGGAAGTGTCCGGTTTGTCCGTTTATTTCGTTCTTCGTGCCGTCTTTTCCTCCGTACGATAAGAATTCCTCGTGATAAGAAATTTTCCCAGAAACAGAAAAAGAAGATACGTATAATATTCCTTTTTCGGAAAATACAATTGTGGTGATTCGTAATAAATAGCTCAACAATTAATATCTCACGATCCAATATTATCGCTACCTCGAATATTACCTTAATTAAGATAATCAGATGATAGACTAGCTATATCGAAACTGCTCGCTTATCAAAGTATCTATATAACGTATACACGCGCGTTCCCCACAAAACCGCGACCATTCGACCAACCGAATTTTGCGAGCATGGCAAACGAAGGCGACATCCAGCCGGTGAGTCCACTCCCCGACTCTGTCTAGAACTCCTTCTTCTTCTCCTTATCCACCAGGATATTGTCGTGATAACTGATCTCCTGGCCAGCAACGGCCGGCTGCAAGTAGTGCGGCTCCACGTCGATCTTCTCCTTCACGTCCGAGTCCAACACCAAGGAGTGATGAGGCCCACGATGAAGGTGCTGCTGCTGCTGCTGTTGATGTTGATGCTGATGCTGATGCTGATGCTGATGCTGGTGCTGGTGCTGATGGTGGTGTTCGTGTCGGCTCTCCTGCTCCTCCTGGCTGTACTTTTTCAGTAGTTCCCTCAGCTTCTCTTGATCGACTTCCTTCTCCTGAGAGAACAGCTCCTTCACGTCGGCCTCGTCGAGTTTCTGCGCGTTAAACTTCTTAAAAAGCTGCAGGAATCGCTCATTAGTCTGCGCTCCGTCTTTGCTTGTGTTGTTCTTCGAAGCGTTCAAATTCGGATCTAACAGTATATCGGGTGTCTCGTGCGCCACGTTCACGTTCTTGTCCAAGTTTTCCTCCGTCAACGATTGTAGCAAGGTATTGTAGTCTGGTTTGATCTTCGAAGTTTCCATGCAGGAGCTGCACGAGCAATTTGTAATAATTTGTACCTTCTTCTGCATGGTCATCGGATTGTTCTGCTCGTCCTTGCAATCTAGCGTAACCTGGAAACAGAAAATATAAGGAAACGATGATATAATACTACATATAAAAAATTGCCGATAAACACACAGCCGACAAACGGTCACCACATTTCCGATAAACAGTGAAGAAACCGAGAATTTCAATATTTCCTCAAATTCCCCAGAAATACGGACATTTATAAATCACGTTACCACTTGCTGTCAGATTCGTAAAATTATTGAAATACACACACACACGCATGATGAAAAATATACGGAATGGACATTATGATTACGTACAGTTGCATGTAATTATGTTTTCAACAGGAAAAAATAAGATTGCAAAATTCAATTTGCTGCAACACAACTCTAGTGCTTAATCCTGTTAAATTTAATAATTGGAAGATAACCAAGAAATGATGATCATGAAATAATGATTGAATATTATTTTCCCGTTATTGCGATATCTCTTGTTACATATGCGGAAGAGGCGAAGATTATCGTGAGGAAAGAAAATATTAATAATCAATAAACATCCGAATTTATATTTTGCTCTTCCCTTGCCGAGGTTAAATAATATTCAGATTACATAATGCGTCGTCGGTTCGGGAAATGATAGGTGCTAAGCAGCTACAATGTTCACGGTTGCTCCGGCTGCCGAATTACCGATCGTAGTTCATTCGACACGCGCAAGTACTCACAGTGTGCCAAACGCTATCCAGAGGCTGACACGAGTCACAGTAAGGTCTTATGAGGTCACCAGGCGCGGAGGGCTCGCTATGAGGCACCATGTAGGAGAAACAGGCGCCGACGCATACGTTGTTGTCCAATTCCTGCGAGGAACATTGGGGCCATGTCACCACTTGCTTTATGGGCGTTGTCTTGCACCAACTGTGCTTATCCGGATACAGCACGATGTTGTGAACCTGCGTATAAAATATATTTTATAAAGACGAATGAGAAGGTATCGCGAACGATATTACAGAAATAACGTACACACAGTCATTTCTTGTTATAGAAGGACCAATTGGAGGAAATAAAGGTTACGGCGAATTATAGGCGAGGTCGCAGAATCATTAGTGGTGAGAAACGAACCTTGTGCTCACGATGGGCGTCAAGCGAAGCAGAATGCATCATTAACAACAACACCGTCGCGAACAGCCGCCACATCGGCCCCATGATCCCTGAAACAATACAAGGAAACAGAGGGTATCCGAATCTTTCCAATTAGATGGACAAGCTTAGGGGAATAATTCAAACGTTTAGGGGATCATACAATTCTCAGAGGAGCGTAGAGAAACAAGAGTAAACTTCACGTGAGATTGTCGACTCTGAAGAGTTATTGCGGTGAGAACAGGGCGAGACGAGGGGACGAGAAAGGCGGAAGGGGAGAGTTGAATGCAAATTTCGAATTCTCTTCTGCGAATCGACTGCCGAGTCGGAGGTAGTGATTACTTTCCCGGGAAGGAACGACAGCCGTGGCACGTTCCTCAAGTTGGACTTTCAGGTTTCACCGGGATTGCATCATAAGCGACACTACGTCATTGCGTCCACCTTCTTTTTAATCTTCGCACTCCGTGTCAATCTCTATGAATACTTGTTGTACGCTCGGTGTTCCCGGACGAAAAACAAACTCTGAGTCGTCGGGATGATCGGATATCGGTTTCTAGAACACGATTTGTCCGTTAGCTTACCATTGTAAGCGGGCGACGGGCACGGACAGTGCTTTCATAAGTTATCTTTACTCCCGAAAAGATGGCAGTTAATTAGATGGTTCGCGTGCGACCTCCAAGTGTCTGTAAAAAGACACGACGAAAGTTATAATATCCTCGTTGGAGTCCGGCGCCAACGGAGGAACGGGTTCTCGTTATTGGTGATGGCGCGACGCGGTTCATTCATAGATCGTTAAGGCCCCTCGATCCCTCGATCTCAATGTGGCATGCTCGAGTTTTAACTTCCCGAGATTTTGAGATAAAGCGACTCTCTCTCTCTCTCTCTCTCTCTCTCTCTCTCTCTCTTCGAGTCCTCTCTCGAAACTCGGCGAATAGGCGGGAATTCGTCGTGGATGTCCCTGCCGTTAATAGCGACAGATTTAAGGTACAGGTCCTGGGAACACGATGCACTCCTTCCGGCGGTGTAAATATTTTCAGAGCCGCGGTAGGGGAGGGGAAGACGCCCGGAGAGATAAAAGATAGAAAAAACGTGCTCTCCATTTAAATACGACAACGTAAATACGATAAGGAATTAGAAATCCGCGATCGAAAAGATTTGCCCGACGTAAGGAGAGAAAGAACGAAGCGAAACATATCGCGCATCTAATTATAATGCAAAATTTTTTTCAGAATAATTCAAATACCAATAGGATTGCGCACAGATTAAAAACGGATTCGATTGTTACGTTCGGTAGTCGTAAAGATTGCATAACGAACGAAGCTAAAAGGAGGAGGCATGGAAATAAAGGTGAATCTCCCAGTGAGATGTTTCCTTTATCATTCGGAGACGTCGATTTTTATGCGCGGCACGAGAAAGAAGTACATGTCCGAGACGTGTTCTCGTTATAAGCGGCTCGACTTATCGTGAGTTAATTCTTCGGCGATCCAACCGCAACGACACCGATACGAATGTCGAGTGTCAGACGGACGCGGCTCCGTTTCGCTCTCGGTTGTTTGAATAAAAACGAAAGAAAGAAAAGAAAAGAGGGAAAAAAGTTCAAACCGATCCTGCGACGTTGCACAGGTACTATCGTGCGTCCGTCGTCCTTCGTGAGTCGTCGTCGAGTATTCACATCCTCGTCGGGACGGGACTCGCGAGCTGAATTCCTGACAACGGCAAGAATCTTGTCCCTCGCCGGACAATTGGTCGCCGGTATTTCCAGAAAGAGGACCGACTTTTCGTCTCACCGGCTGTCTCGTCCACGATGCATTTCGATTCCGATTCACCCGCCGACTCCCTCGGTCGCCTCATTTTCTCCTCGTCTTCCTTTCGCCTTCGTTTCCTCCTGCGCACCGCGGCTTCCACCTTACCCCACCTGTATCCTCCGCGAACGCGTTTGGTTCGGAGGAGAATCTTTTTCTTCGCTCCGTAACGCGCAACCCTTCGTCCTCCTTTATTCTCGCGCAGAATCTCTCCGATCTTCCGTTTTTTATTTCGAGTTCCGAGAAACCACCGGTGCAGGGCTGCGCCGCTTTCGTGAATTTTTGGTGGTACGCAGCTCTCTCTCTCTCTCTCTCTCTCTCTCCGATCGCGACACCGATCGAAAACAATCGGAACGGGAGACGTGCAAAAAAGAAACAGAGAGAAAGTAACGAGCCGCTCTCACGCGCGGCTGATTAGAGGGAGCGAGACACGAGATTGTTATCGGAGTCACGAGATTACTGAACGATCGACGATGTGAAACTTGTCGCGCCACACAGATAAATCCTGTTCTCCGGCCGCGCTCCGGAAACTTGTTTACAGGATGCAACTTGAGGATTCTGGAGGAACGTATCGCGTTTCAAAAATTAGGCCTCTCGAATAATTCTTGTTGAATCATCCTGTATGCTTCGAGGCTGCGGAGGTGTGGGGCAACAAGGTACCAGCCGCCCGTCTCATTTCTACGAGCGGAGATTTGAATGACCGAATAGGACGCGACAGGGACGTACTCGAGCGCGCTCCGACGACCTGGCCGCGTATCCGACTCCACGCGTGTTCGTTATTGCGGGATATTATCGTCTTTCCATGGATATTCTTCAACGTATAATAGCCAGGCGCTCTCACTCTGGAAATAAAGGCGAGCTACCGCGCGAGTGGTTATGCGCGTCGTAAAATCGACATGTGACATGTGAAGCAAAGTTAACTCTATCCAACGTTGTCGGCTGAATCGAGTCCCCTACCCAAAGTGTTTTTAACTCGTTTATATTTGGATTATTTTCATTTGCAATTTTAAACGTGATCGACCAAGATTCGTTCAGCTCGGTCTCTTTGTTTCTATTCCTCCGGCTGAATCCACGTGTGGTTCTTCGCAAACGCATTTTGACCTCACACGATCACGCGTGTGTATGTGTGTATCTATAAGATTACAGCCATCGCATCATTATATTCAATATTATTCAATAACTCAACGAAATCGACGAAACAATCGATGAAATAATCCGCACCTCTTTCTTTCGCAGTCTCTCGAGTCTCGAGTCTCGAGTCGCGATACTTTGCAAGTCGCTTCCTCACGAGCAAGCCTCAACTCACAGACGCATGGAAAGCGTTCATCATTGTTCAAAATTGTTTCGCGGCTACGGCCCTGCGACGGCCGCAGCCAGAAGTCCAAAGCTCTTTGTTGCTGCGCCACCTTCTCTTCTCGCCTCTGGGTCCGTGTCGGTGGCACGGAGGACCTCTGGCCCACCTCCTTCTTCACCTCCACCTCCCTCGGTCCCGTGCCTTCGATTTGCTCGTGTCCTCGAGATACCGAGAGAGAGAGAGAGAGAGAGAGAGAGAGAGAGAGAGAGAGAGAGAGAGAGAGAGGATAGAAGGAGAGCGATACCGGACGACGAGAGAGATGGAGGACAAGGGGGGATCGGGCGAGAGAACGGAGGACGGAGAGAGGGTCCTGCGCCCAGCCGCGAGATTAATTTGATTTTCAAGCAAATTTGACGCGCCCCCGAGCCTAGGCGGTGCCGGCACAAAGAGCGCCGCGCCTGTCCGCCCATGTGTGTGCCCGTCGAAATCCCCGACGGTTTTCCATCGATCCAACGTTTGATCCTCCACGTCTATCCACCACGTCGACAGCATGTCGGCCGACGGGCGCGTCGATGCGCGCGTTCGTTACAATAGCGTACGCGATGCGTATCGCGAGCGTTTTAGCGTTGAGCACTTTCGCTGCGTTAGATGTTAGATTGTAGCAAACTGAAACGTCAAGATGCATAGCATGCGATAGCGGCTATACATATCGATGACATCAGCGGCGAGGAAGTCGCGGCAGCGGCGGTCCCAGCGACAAGTGGTCCTGCTTCAACGAGCGTCAGGATCTTCGCGGATACGTGTCGGCGCTTTCAAGGCGCCGCGACTCTCTCGCAAGGAGGCTCTCTGCGAGTCAAAGTCGACAGTTTCGCACGACGTGTTTGCTCTTCTTTCATTGGCGCGCACGGTGAGACTCACCTTGGCCAATACGCGCGTCTTCCGACGCAATCGCAAGAAACGATCGCGATCAATTGCGCTTTTGCACTCGTGATGCAGCATGCAGAATCACGAGTGTCGCGCGCGCAATCGCTCGTGCGCGAACGCCGTCTGATCGCGTCTGATCGCGCGCGATGAAGCTGTCCACGGGGGAAAAAATATTATCCTTGCCGTCTACGGGGTGCCAGCACCATGCGCGCCAATCATCCCGCGAGCCGCGTATAATACCTCCTGCTCTCGGCGGCCGGCGAGGGTCCGGTCGTCCCGAGGTTCAATCTCCCGAACTTAATGATCCGGTGCGCGACGAGCGCCGGAGATGACGGCGAGTGATATATCCATAATTAGGTGTCTCGGGCTTTAATCTCCCATTGGTTTTAATGAAAATCTCCACCTCCCGTTTTGACATACCCTAATTTCACATTTCGTTGGGAC